TAACTGTATATCTCATGAACCAATTTAACAAACTGAAAATGGAATACCACAAATGAGTGAGTAGTCCACTTCCAAAGTGAGCTATGTAAATTTTTTTCGATTTTTAGTTTGTGGTGGGAAACGTACCAGTATTTAAAGTAGTTTCATGTCCACTAACAATTCAGTGCAAAATCTTTCTATATTCTGAAAAAATAGCATCAAATGTTAACTACTCTTGCAAAAGGCGCTATAATAATTATGTATGTATTTATACACTTTCAAAAGTCTCCATCTTCTGATGAACTTAGAAAACGGCAAGAAAACGTAGTAGTTTCGGTGCCTAGTGGAAGACGTCTTAAAAAAGAAGCCGACCAACCTTCAAGGAAGAGAGAACGCGAAAAGCTAAAAGAAGCTAGCTATGTAAAAGTTACTGTTTCAAAACTCGCTATATTAAATTTTTATATATAAAATTTACAAAAACTACCACACTGCGATTTTGTTTTTAATGTTATTAGGCTCTTTTTATCCAAATTTTCAGATAATAAAAATATATATACAATTTGGATGTTACTTGTTGTTGTAGACGTTTTTTTTTTTAATTTAAATAACATAACGCATTTTACAAGTGGACTACTCAAATAAAAACTAACGAAATTCCTTAAACCGTCTATACGTCAATTTCCGATAGGACTGATGGTTCCTGACAATTAATCATTCCAGTTTTTTTTTTTTTTTTAATGAAAAAAATAAAAACATCCAATTTCACCAAGAGAAAAATTAAAAAAACTAACAGGTTCTGTAAGTATGTTGTAAAGCCTGTTCTGTTACAAAAAAAATAAAGTTACTAGTGAAGGAAAGCGTGGAATAAATAAAAAAATAATGAGTGGTCAAATGAAAATAGGCAAAGATTTTTTGTATGAAAAATGAGCAGGAAAGATAGATACTCATACGCCACGTACACCTGAGTGACACGCTTTTATGCTCATATTTCCTAAAAAAATCTTTGCGCGATTTTCATTTGACCACTCATTACGGGCTTGTTCGAGTTGCAATCACAACCGCAGTGTTGCGCGAATTATTAAAGTATCACGTTCTGCGTGAATTTCTAGCAATGTATTATCAGTTGGGCAGTTGCAACAATGTTGCCATTTTTCATCAGTACGACAGTAATGCCGCTTTTATTACGTGCCTCGAACAGGCCCTACTTCTTTATTTATTCATCGATTTTCTTCATTAGTAACTTGATTTTTTTGTAACAGAACAGGCTTAAGCACAAAGGCAAAAATTTGACACAGAACTGTTATTTTTTAATTTTACTTCATAAAAAAAAAAGTCTGGAATGATTAATCAATTTGTCAGAAACTTTCAGACTTATCGAATATATGATATAAATGCGGTCTATGTAGAATTTTGTTAGCTTTCATTTGCCGTATTTCATATTAAGATTGTTAACCACTTTTTGTTTTAAGCTGAATAAAAGTAAATTGAAAATATCTCGAGAACTTATCCGCAGAATAAAAAACTATTGAACATTTTTGCTGCTGTTGAAATCTCTTCGGATTTTGTTTATTTCTAATTGTGTTAAGTAATTAAATCGTCTCAATATCGAAATGATTCTAAACATAATGTTTACGATTGGAAATTTTCTCTTTATTTAATTAGACTAAAAAATGATAATCGTCGTTTAAAGTACAAAACCGCGTATCAACAAAATGCAAAACCGCGTATGGGAGGTTTCATAAATTATTTTCTAGAGAGTAAAAACACTCATATTTCAAAATGGTTCTCCTTTTTTTATAAAGCAATCGCATTTCTGGCTAGTATATTTCAGGACGAATGGATAAGGATTGAGCGAAGAGCTTGTGTGAGCAAATCCAATTTTTGGCAGCAAATGTCGCGGTTACGCGGTTTCGCAGAATGACGATGCACGGTTTTGTACTTTAAACGACGTAATGTGACATTACATTTCAATAATTAATGAAAAAATAATTTTCTTTGCGGAGCAGCGTAGAGGACCGGGGTAAAACTAGTAGTAAAGTAGTATTTAGTTGTAAACGTGCGAACCGATTATTGGAGTCTTGGTTTGATTTAAAAAAAAAAAAAGAATCTTTACACCAGAACCGAGTACATACATAAGTAAACATCAAGTAGTTTTAGTTAAAGTATTAAAAACAATTATTATAAATTTACGACGCATTGTATGTTGTGTTGTATATGTAAATTTATGTATATATTCATACGTAGAGCATGGTGGTCACCACGGTCATTCGCACGGCGGTGGTCTTACTAGAAATCACAGCAGGCTTACAGAACTAGCAAATATAGATGATGGCGAAGGTGAGCCCAATGACTTCGCATATGAAAAAGAGGTATGCATTCAAACTTTTCAGTTCAGTCAGGTTAACTCAAAATACATATGTATGTATATAGGGGATTCAAAAGACCTGTTAAGCGTCGTAATGTCTTAAAGTATTAAAAATTTGCAAGGCAAAATAACCGTTAAAATGGTTTTATGTATGACGGGAGCTAATTATATATTTTCTATCAGTTTAAAAGCATTTCGGTATAATAACAGATCCTCTAAAATCATTTTAATAGTTATTTTACGTTGAAAAATTTTAAGACTTTAAGACATTAACATACTTAGCACGTCCTTGTGAATCCTTAATATTATTTACGATAAAAATTAAATAAATTTCTTTGCTTTAAGAAAAAACCGATGAAGAAATTAAATCATGGTCACAGTCACGATCCAGGCCAAATGAATATGCGTGGTGCATTTTTACACGTACTAAGTGATGCCTTGGGTAGTATCATAGTTGTGATTAGCGCCTTGGTATGTTTCATTTATGTATACAATAACGAAATCAGGGAAAGTGCATTGTAAATGTGTATTTGTCATTAGGTTGTGTGGCTAACAGACTGGAAATATCGATACTATATGGATCCTGCTCTTTCTATCGTTTTGGTTTGCCTAATTCTACATTCAGTTTGGCCACTCCTGCGGGAATCAGCATTGATATTGCTACAAACTGTGCCAACGCATATTCAAGTAAATGCTGGATTTTCGTTTTTGACTATTTATATAATAAAAAAAAATATACGCTTCTTTTTTTTTAGGTTGACGCGATCCAAAAGCGTCTGCTGGAAAAAGTTGATGGTGTTCTGGCTGTTCACGAATTTCACGTTTGGCAATTAGCTGGGGACCGTATAATCGCTTCGGCTCACATAAGGTAAGAAATCATTAATGCACTTACGCTCAGCTAAGTATGCATGCATGCACATTTACGCATGCCCATTACTAAAATCTGGGTGTGTATGACACACATGTACATTTATTTTAACATGAATATCCATAGATGTCGCAACCTTTCGGAATATATGAAAATTGCAGAGAAGGTTAAGGAATTTTTTCACAATGAAGGCATACACTCGACCACAATTCAGCCCGAGTTTGTCGAAATAGAAGGCTGCAACATGTCTGATGGCACATCGAGTCTAAATATGAGTGGCTCCGATTGCGCATTAGATTGTCCCAGTACAGCAGAGGGATGCGTCAAAGCGACTTGCTGCCAAAATAATAACAAATTGGTAACAGAATTTTATAAATATCGTCGTTATGAATGGGAAAAGTTACTATTGACAAAAAACTTTTCATTTTTTAATTTACATTAGAGATTCTTTTAGAGCTGTGCTATAGAAGCCATTAATATGGATTTTAATTTTGGTGTGAGGCTAGCGTTTTAAGCCACCTTACGGAATACTAAACCAAAAGCAATTAAAAAGATGTCAAATAGAACACTTTGCATTGATGGCGATAACACACATACAGCAGTGTTCACCAAAATAGCATGTTTTGACAATTGCATTTTCTTTTATTTCATTTTAATCATTTTTATACACATAGAGTCAATTCCACAACAAAAGCCAAACAAATAAAATATTCCACAACAGTCAAAAAAATTTTCATCAAAATTTCAAATATTTTACTCAGAATTTTTAGTGCACTTTACACTGGCAATCAAAAGTGAGTGCATGGTGTTTTTTGTTTAATATTTCCAATGTTTTCAAGTTAAAACTATTTTAGTTATTTTTTATAAAAATGTGGTTCATGCTTTAAACAAAACCACATAAGTCAACTTTTCAAAGTTTATACAGAACTTGGAAAAATTTAACAAATTTTTATCTACATTTTTAACTTGTTGATCTGAATTTTTGGAAAAATTTTGGGTACACAGAGAGATTGGCTATGTAATTCTAGTGAAACTAGCGCAAGTTTTAAGCGGCTAAAATATCGCGTTGATTTTTAATAGTTTTTTTTTCTGACGGATTTTGCGGTTTTATGCATGTAACAAGGCAATTTATAAAATATAGCGTTAATTTTTTCTATTTTTCTTTGCAAACGGTCTTGCTAATTTTATTCTACAAGAAATTCCTTTTTAAGTGGGAAAAAGTGCAAAAAGCCGCGATTTTCTAGCTGCTTAAAACTTGCACTTGTTTCACTAGAATTGAAAAATCTATCCATCTGCGTACTCAAAATTTTTCAAAAAATTCTGATTAAAACGTTCAAAGTTTAGATGAAAATTTGTTGACTTTTTCTAAGTTCTGTATAAAGTTTGAAAGCTTCAATTATGTGGTTTTGATTAAAGCATGAACCATAAAAATAAAAAATAAAAAAAATTTAACTTGAAAAACATTGCAAATATTAAACAAAAAACACCATGCACTCACTTTTGATAGCCAGTGTACGTACGTTGTTTTATAGCTCGTTAAATTTAATACAATAAAGGGGAAGGTTGAAGTGGCTAATATTACATTTACATTGAGCCCAAATTCGTCATTTGGCCGAGAAATCTGAAACATCGTACAGTTTCCTAAGTAAAAACACTATCAGCCGATTGCCAAAAAATTCCTCTAGCCGAGATCACTTGTTTTTTGGCAATTACCTTTTATCTTTTCCAATTTCTTCCGTTTCTATTACAATTTATTCAAAATACACTAACACACTAACCAAAACC